CCCCCCCAGGGCAATGCTACTGACTGAAGTTGTCTTTAGGCCATTCCCAAAAGGGAGGACATTAACATGTTCTTCTGTTATGCACAGTAAAATTCTAAATGTGCTGATTTACCAATGTCATGCTCATACTGTCCCCTGACAACATAGGGGAACTCATGCTGCTTTTTCTTTTCTCATCCTTACTATCGTCATTTATCCTCTACTTCTTTTGTATGTTTGTCACTCTCTAGTGAACTGCTATTTCCGGGGTGCCTTGATAGTTGAAGTAGACGTTGTGCTGTTGAGGCTAGTAGATAGGTGAACAGAGTACGTAAGCCGGATTCCCCGTTTGGGCTTCTCTGTTGAAATCCACCCCTTGGTGCTCATATGACCTTTATGCAGTTGCGAGCGTCGTAAAACCTTACTAAAACAAGAAACAATCCCTACACCCGCACATGTACCATCGCCATGGTTTCCCTGTGTGCAATGCTCGGTCAGGTTTCAGCTCCTTCTCACCATAGATACATATTATGTTGTTGTGCAACTCATTCCTCCATACCCCCCCCCCACCCTAAGAGGTACTCTTTGTAATCTGTTTGGTCTCTCCTGATTTCTTCTGTAATTTCTTAATTTTCTTCTGTTCTCATACAAAAGAATAAAATGCTATGCATCGTGGTGAAATCCGGCGCTCGTCAAAATAATGAAATCGCCGAAGCAAGCATTTTCCCGTGGGTTTGTAAATTTTTGTCGAATTTTTGTGGGGGTAGTTTGGCCCAACACCTTTTACATTCAAGTTAAAACCGATTTCCTTTCGGATTTTTACTGAAAAAACCCCCCGTTGATTAGAGGCACACTATATGTAAATTTTCAGTTTCCAAGGACTCTCATTACTCTAAAGCCATGGAAGTTACCAAAATATGGCGCCATTTTCTCGCTGATCTGACCTCTTAAACATGGCGATCCCCACCTCCTTCAATTTCAATTAGCTCGACTTCTATTCAGGGCCGTCGAGAGCCAGGTTGGGCCCTGGGGTAGCAATCACCTTCGGGCCCCTCCTCCCCCCTGCCCCACCCACCCCACCTGCAATTTAATAACCCAACAAATACAAATACATAGGCATATATAATCACTTTACTGTAGCATATCTATTACATACCAACATACGCTCTCTCTCTCTCTCTCTCTCTCTCTCTCTCTCTCTC